TGACTTGGAGCATAATGTATATGTTTGGATAAATAAGGGGAGGTTTGCCTGAGTGAAACTGTCAGGGAGTTTGATTGGTCAGACTTTCAAGCATTCCATTTATGCTGCCAGCACTCCAATTCTGTTTTGTACTTCAGAACCTTTTTCCTCCATTCTGAGTCATTCATCAATAAGGATGGAATAAGAGAGAGACCCAGAACACATACAGTTCCCTGTAAGTGCATATTTGGCTTGACAATAGACAGCAAAATTTGTGGACTGTAAAATAATACTGTCAGGCCTCTATATACAGACCCATGTTTCATGGCTACAAGGACACATTTGCATACATCTAGGAGGAGGGGGCATGTGCCTCTCAGGCCTCCCCCTGGGTCTGGGCCTGCCTTATGGAAACTTCTTACAAAATAGGAAAAAATGCTAAATAAGAATGTTGTTGAGCTGGTGAGAAACTAGTTTTGAGTTCACAGAGCAAATGGTCAACAAAAGGATTTGTCATGGTGCGATGGAAATATTCCTTAAAGGAATCTGCTGTTATGTTACATCTATTAATTTGCTTTCTGTTTATACAAGGTAGTGATGGTCTAGGGGCATCGACTGATTCAGCTAAGGCAACAGCTTCCAAGTAGCAATTGTCACCACGACACTGTTTATCTCTGACATAGCTGTGCAGATGTCATTAGTGCATCCTTGAATTGTGGCACACAGTAGTAACACCAGAACTTCAAATTGTGTAATTACAAGGAACAGTGATTTTGGTTTAGAAATTGACTCCAAGTTCCATGATTCTCCATTCTCAGCAATATTTTGCATCATTTTGATAACAGCTATATAAAGCTTACCAAATACCTCTAAAATATCATGTCATGCAAACCCAACAAGTTTTACATAAATCAACTAACTTTAGCCTGGAACTCTGAGGGAAAATATTGACTATTGTCTTCAAGCACTTGCTGGTGCTTGGGTGAATACTTGAAAAATATGCACACTTCAGTTGGGGTACCCATCATATTCTGCCCTTGCTGAAGCTGGCTTGTCTTAACTACAGCAAGATTAAATATATATGAATTGCAGTAAATGTATAGTGCATGTGGATACAATTCATTAATGATGGCAGCAACTCCTTTATTTTTACCAGACATATTTCCTGCACCATCATAACCCTGACCATGCAGCTTTGAGAGGTTTAAGCTATAACCACGAAGTTTTTCAATAATTTTGTTATCTAATGTATCACTGTCAATCTTGTCACGCACAATGAATTCTGGAAAACATTCCTGAATATTTACCTCATCATAAAACCTAAGCACCAATGACATCTGTCACTTCACTAGAAACATCTGTCACTTCTTCTGCAAGAATGCTGAAGAAGCCTGCCTTTTTCATTTCTGTGATTAGTTGTTCATGAATATATTTTTGCACACTCACTGATTAGCTCATTCTGAATCCTTTTAGACTTGTATGTAGCATTCTTAGGATCATGCTTGAAACATTCAGCAAGAGACAAATCTCCAGATGTTACACAAAAATCCAGCAGAGCAAGAACGTTACCAGGATTGTTTTCTGAAGAGATATCTGATTCATCAGTACCTCGAAGAGCAATATTCTGTTGTCCACACAAAATAACTGTTTCTAAGATCGAATGAAGTTTGCAATGATTCTCCTTGATGCGAGCCAACATCCAAAACCTGGCTTGTTGCACAACGTTGAAATGGCACTGTTCCATAATGCTGACAAAAGAAGCATAATCAGCCATAGACTTGTATTGATACTGTGTTTCACTATGCTTCTTTAGCACCATCTTTAAACTTTTTTAATGGTGAATTAACTAACATCCCAGTTTGGTGGGGTCCTGGCTTTACAAAAAGTAGACGTGGGAGACAGAAACCACCATTAAGTGCTTCACTGTACACAAGCCACTGAAAAATCTGCAACCACTGGTGTTGGAAACAGTGATGCTTTTTCCTTCGATCTGATAAGGAAGTTGGTGTCTGTGATTGTATGTCTTTATTTTTTGTATTACTTCATAATGGTTGGAAGTACTTAATTCATGAATTTTGCTGTACATTAGACCTATATCATATGGTACGCTGCATCCATGAAACTGGTCGACCGGAACTATACTTGTCTGTCAATCTAGCTCCTCCATAGTATCAATCTTATGGCGTTTTTTTGAGGACCAGAGGGTAATTGCAGTGTGCCTGCATTTCTTCATTGCTATTGTTAGTAGCTTTTCTTTTTAAAAACAGAAATAGGTAGGTGTTTTTGATTTTCTGCCATTGTCAGTATATCTGAAAATGGGAATATTTACTATTACTGACTTTGTTCAAACACTTAAACATTTACACTTGCACACAAAAATATAAATATGAACTAGAAAAATACATCAGGTACCACAGCAAATAATTGTACAAGAAAACGCACCTACCTACACAAGCCTACTCATGCGATTATTATAAAGAATGTGATCATGATTTGTAGGGTGAGTTAACGTTGCAGTTAATCTCCACCCTTTCCGGTCAGGCTATATCCAGTCTTCCCCTCCCCTACCCTGCCACATGTACAGTTCCTTGTAAGTGTATATTTGGCTTGACTACAGACAGCAAAATGTGTGGACAAGAATAATACTGTCAGGCCCCTATATACGGACCCATGTTTCAGGGCTACAAGGACACATTTGCAAGCATCTGGGGGGGGGGGGCACGTGGCCCTTAGGACTCCCTCTAGGTCCAGGCCTGCCTTATGAAAAGAAATTATCTTCCTCTATCTAATTACACACAGTCAAACCTGTAATCATGAAAACAATTTCTCAGACTACAAAGTCTTAACTACAGGCTGTACTGCCATGGAACTACTCATTAAGAATAGCCATCTGTATTAAACATTTGTATACTTAATCTTTTTATTATTATTCTTATTTTAATTTTATTACTGATCCTTGTTAAAGATACATTGTTGTTGTTTTTTTTTTCTTATTGCAGTAATAAGCATTAAGTATCATCACCAGTTGTCTACTTGTATTAGTCTGTCTTCATTCTTCATATACACTGTCTTTCTTGGCTCCTCTGATACAGGTTCCTGCTATATCACTGGCTTATGAATGCCCCAAGTTAGATATAATGAAAAGAAGACCTCGTGATCCTCTTCTTGATAAACTTGTAAATGAGAGGTGACTAACTCTTTTTTCTCTTACTTTCTTTTCATAATTAACTCCTGAAGACTGCCATGTACACTTTGAGTTAGACTTTTTTTTCTTTCCTTTCTATTGTATTAATACCCAAACACTTTTTACTATATTAACATTTAATATTTAAAGCTGGTAGTGGTAGCCAGTACTCTCTCCATTTCTGTAGTCTTGCATGAGTATAACCACACTTATGTCTTGAACCTCTACCCCAGCACAAATTCTTCAGTCATTTGTTTAGGTCACAGTATATTCTAGAATATTGTTCAGCAAAATGTTGCCTGTATTTTTAGGTTTTACTTGTTACATTTTTTTATACTATTATTGGTTGAACATCCCTTTCACAGGTCCCTGCTATCTCACTTGCTTATGAGAAAGCTGAAAGTGACATTATGAAACGACAGCCACGCGATCCACTTCATGACAAATTAGTTAATGAAAGGTAAGGTATTTATTGTGATATTTTGTAAAGATATTGCACTCTGTGGTGTAAAACAATTAGTATCTTAAGAAATATAATTATGAAGAGAGTAATTACTCTTTAAATGGATAATATCAAACAAGGCTTCCATTGTGAGAAATATTAAAACAAGCAGATGGCAACAACATTTGAGTATGTATATATTCATCATTCAAAATTTAGTTGCATTGTACTGGTTATCAGATGGATCTTTGTTTACAATGGCACTAAAAAAGCTACTCCACATTGTAAGCTATGGTAATTTTAAATTTAGTTATCTGATAAGTATAGCACTCAACTCCTCATTTACAAATATTAGCAGAGGTTAAAGAGGATGATGATAATTTTTTTATATTCATGGGGAAAAAAATACATTGTGAAAATATCCATAGTACAGAGCCACAAAAGTATAAGTAAATTTATGTGGCACTTATACACATACATACACACACACACACACCATGACTTATAACTATACAATAATTTGCATACCTTTAGTGCCGTCTAGACTTAAATACACCAAAGAGTTTATAAGACATATGTCTAGCATTTCTTTTTTTCTGAACCTGAACCAACCTCTTTGTTTAGCAAATATATATATATTTTTTCACTTTCTATTGCTTCTCTGATATTTAGTCACACTTCAACAATATCTGATTTATCAGTTTAAACCTTTCGCTATGAGTGGGGGTCATAGGGCACATTGTCATGTTTGTAGACTTGCATTCGAAATTTGATTAAACTACTATTTTCTGAATGTATGTCAATAAATTTGGCATCAATTTCTAGTTTATAATTCAAGTTTTAATATTATACATTATTTAATTTCTTAATTTAAATTGCTAAATATTGATTTTTGTGTTTTTTATACATTGTTTTTCTACTTTTATTTAGATTACATTTTATAATACCCATAATACAATGTCTATAGTTTCTTATGATTTAGAAACTCAAATTACTGATGTTGACAAGTTAGAATATAAAATAAAAATATTTTTCTGTTTGCAGAGATATCACAATATCTAGCAGATCCACCACAGTAGATCTGCCCACTTCTTTTGGAAATATTTGTTTACTTATGCTTATTTCTCTCAATTACATGCTTATAACCAATCAAAAAACACTCGTATGGTGATCAGAAATGGGATTTTTTAGACCCAAATACAGCTTAGTTAGGAAGTCTGATAAATCAAAGTGAAATTTTGTGGCAATGATATAGTAATTTCTAATTTCTTGCTATTTCAAAATGCATTTATGAAACCTACAAAAAATGTTGGTGTTTTTTTTACATCCTCCATGTGTGAAATTCAGCGAGGCTTAGGAAGTACGACATGCGAGTACAAAGAAACTTCATAACATCACAAGTGATAGAGATCATTGTTCTCCATATATTTTTTTTTATTTATTGTTTTATGTTTCAAGAAAAATAACTGACATTTAAAAATTTGTGTTGAAATAGTAATAATAATAATAATAATATATATATATATATATATATATAGACATATGTAATGTATGGTAACTGAAATGTGATTCTATTTTACAGAGTACTGGTATGCTAGTACAAAGGCTAAATCTTTGTACTTTGAAAGGCCAGGTTTATCATTATTCCAGTCTATAATGAGATTTGCTTTTGCTTGCCACACGTTCTGCTAAGGCCAACTCATTTACTTTATCTTTTTCAACTGCATTTTTATGTTCCTTGATCTTAAATTTCAAATTTCTACACGTGGGATTATATGAATCCCAAATTGATCAGCTTTTTCTACTTTATTTTTATACTTGTGAGAAAATTATTAACTTGTAATGCAGAGAATATTCCACTACAATCTATGTATTTTTTATTTACATTACCTATTCTTGTTAGCAAGCCTTGAACATATGACAAGTAAACCCTCATGTTATCAACTTTACCTTTTCTTTTTAAATTTGTATGTGATGACATTTTTGATTTATTGCCAAATTTTTTTGTACAATCTATCAATGATTTCCAGATCAAAGCCCATGTCTCTAGCTACATGTTTCAATAAAATCTGATCGTAAGTCACAATTGTCAGGACAGATATTTAAAGCTAAATACAAATGTGGAAAAAGCAGATAATTTTTGTGGCCATAGGTGACCTAATCTGTTGTATGGTAGAACAGTTGCAGAAAATGACCTTCTATAAACCAACATTGAGAGAAACCCATTTTCCAATTTGACTGTCATGGTCTAGGGAATTTAACTGACCCTCTTTTTCTGTCTCCACTGAAAATTGAATAGTAGGACTAATCAAACTGAGATATTCTTTAAACTTCATTAATGTGTTAATGTCACACTGACACATTAAGACTGTGTCATCTCCAAACTTTATCCACACCATAGGTCTCGCCTCAAAAGTGTTAAACACGTTCATTTCAAATTTAAATATAAACAATTTGCATGAAAGAGGGGACAGGGGAGATCACATAGCTAAACCTTTAATAATCTCTTAACAAAACTTATTCCTTACCTTAAAATATGTATTCTATATACAGTCATGGGTCAGCATCAATATTTCACTCACATTTTACAGAGAAAACTTCTTGCTCTCTAATCTATTTTTAAAACAATAAAGTGCCTCTTCTACTGGTATCTTCATGAATAGTGACATAATGTCAAAAGAGGCTAGTTTATCAGTTCATTCCAATTTTACCCCTGAGATTTTGTTAACAAAATTATCTGAACTTTTTACAGTGTATTTATGAGAGTAGGTTAAAAATAAACATTTTTGACAAATAAATTTTGCCAAAGGATGGAATGATGAGCCCTTGTTATGAAACAGGGTGAAAATTTTATATAGTGCAAAAAACCTGGGTAAAATGTAACTTGAGGGAATGAGACCTTTCCTTTCTTTTTATGCCAAAATAACAATTTTTTTTCTACAGTTTTTAGCCAATTATGAACCAAGGTATTAGGGTCCTTTTTTACTTATTCATAAGAACTGTCCTCTAACATTTCTTTAGTTTTGTTCTCAAAAGTTTTTATCCAAAATTACAATTTGACTTCCTTTGTTTGCCTTGGTAATTACAATATTACCATTGATCTTCAACGAACATAACTGTTTTAACTCAACATTACTTAAATTAAGCTTAGGTTTACCCTTCTGGTTCAATTATTTGTTGGCTACTTCTGTCCTAACCATGTTTTATTTTATCACTAAAGAATAAAATTTTTTTAAATCATACTTCTGTTGACTCAATAAAAATCTTCTTTCCATGAAAAATTGTTATCAACTGAAAGATGTAAGCCTAGGCTTAGATGACACACTCTCAACTGATAATTTAACAACTTTAGGATTCAAGAGTTAATTTTCTTAACATGTAGCTAAGGGCAAAAGCTATGATCCTGAATTTATCGTGCAAAAAACATAACAATAAATTAAAAATGTCATCATGTACAAAGTTAAAAGGAAAGGCACGTTTCATGTTATAGACTAGGGTAACATTAAATTGATAAATCAAGTTAAGTTGAAATTTGAATTAAATATTGGGATTGCTAAGTTAGTATAAGGAATAAATTTATTTAATACTAGTTAAAAAATTGTCTGAGAACTAGTTTAAGTATAGAAGATTTTGTAATTTTTATTAAGCTGTACAAATAAACAGCCTTGTAGGTGTTTCATGTCAAGAGAAAGAAAGATAATTAAGGTAAGAACTTGTGTCAGCTGTGTACTAGTTGAAATTCCAAAATGGCAACAATTTCTTTTTTCCCAAAAGACTTTCAGTATATTGCTGTTTATCATAACAACCATTGGTTAAGTGAAAAGTATAGGCCATGTTTGTTTATTTATTAAGCTACTAATAAGGGCAGTAAGTCTTAACAATATCATATCTTGAGTGGTATATGAATTCCATTCCTTTACTTGCTTAGAAATATTGCCTTGGCAGCAGAGATATGGATTTCAGAATCTCTGTGCATGATTTTTTAAATGTAATTTGATTAGTTTGGTTTTCCAACAACAAAGTACATGTTCAAGATAATTACTTATTGTAAACCAGAGTAGTTATTTGATGCTACAATTACTTGTTGTTAGGTGATGAACAGAATGTATTATTCTTAGACAGTAAGGGTTAATTGCATGTGTTTTTCATAGGTTAATTTCCATAGCATATGGACAAATTGGAATGATCCAGGCTGCCTCCGGATTTTTTGTCTATTTTGTCATTATGGCAGAAAATGGATTCTGGCCAAACAGGCTACTTGGAATTCGTGAAGAATGGGATTCAAAGGCTGTCAATGATCTCACGGACTCGTATAATCAGGAATGGGTAATAGCAATAGTAATGATTCTTGCAAGGATCATATTAATTCTTATGTGTGAAAAATCTAATATGTTGCAACCAGTTATAAGGTGATGCTGTTTTATCTACTAAATACTGTAACAAGTCCACCTAAATTGTATATCTTATCACAATGTTCTGTGAATCTAGTATGTTGCAACCATTTCACCTTCAGTTATAAGGTGATGTTGTTTTACCTACTAAATACTCTAACAAGTCCACCTAAATAGTATGTCTTATCACAATGTTCTGTGAATCTAGTATGTTGCAACCATTTTCACCTTCAGTTATAAGGTGATGTTGTTTTACCTACTAAATACTCTAACAAGTCCACCTAAATAGTATGTCTTATCACAATGTTCTGTGAATCTAGTATGTTGCAACCATTTTCACCTTCAGTTATAAGGTGATGTTGTTTTACCTACTAAATACTCTAACAAGTCCACCTAAATTGTATATCTTATCACAATGTTCTGTGAATTTCATGCTTAAAATGATGAACATGTGTGTCATTTCTATAAATGTAATTTTCCCAATAATTTGAGCACAATGTTTTTTTATATATCAAACTGTAAAGACTTAGAAATCAAAGTAACTCAGTCAGTATAAATTTTAGTTAAAAAAGATATAAAAATCCTAAAGTGCCAACAGTTACATTCAGAATTACAAACAAGTCCATAATTTACTCATTTCTAGATCTTATTTCTGGAAATAAATGTCATTTTCTCATGGTTTTGTGGAGAATTTTGCTAAAACTTGAGCTTGTTAGCTACACATTTATATGAGCAAGGTGTGTCTAGCTGGGCAGTATGTCGTGTGACTAGTCATTATGTTTGTGTAGTTGCAAGGCAGTACATCATGTGCCTGTTTGTTACAATGTATTATTAAATTATGTATCTTTTCTCTGCAAATTGTCATTTGAACCATTGCATAATTTATGCTTGTTCTTGGAAGAGAATGTCACATTAAGCATATTATTACGAGTTATCATATAAACTTGTTTTACTAAAAATGGAGAGGATGCATTGAAAGGAACAGTGAACAAAGATAAAAGTTTTGATTAATTTAGAAGTCTTATGGTACAAATATATGCAATATTTAAGTTGTTTGTGTGGGTCTTCTAACTCTGACTTAAAAACGCTCAAAGTGAATAATTAAATTTTGTATAATACTATAAACATTGTCTGTAAATGTACCAAAGCAAGTTTCTTTTTAAACACAGCACATTATAAAAGTTACAGGTATTTTGGTTTTTCTTGTTATTATTGTATATTCTGAGTTAAACAGGAGTACTTTGATTTGATTTTTTTAATAGACCTATTTTGACCGTAAGATTTTGGAATACACCTGCCATACGGCCTTTTTTGTGTCAATTGTAATTGTTCAGTGGGCTGATTTGATTATCTGCAAAACTCGTCGCAATTCTGTTATTCACCAAGGAATGACGTGAGTATAATTTAAGAATTACATATGCAGATTTGTGAAGTATTTAGTTGGCTTATTATAAGTAATGTTATTTTAATCTTGCCCTTTTTTGTAATCTTGCATTTCAGTAACCATATATTAAACTTTGGCTTATTCTTTGAGACTGCCTTAGCTGCTTTCCTGTCCTACTGTCCAGGGATGGACAAAGGTCTTCGTATGTACCCATTGAAGTGAGTGTAATTTTTGCTATTACTTTTTCTTGGTGCAAGTAGTAAAAACATTGAACTTGTTATATTCTTTTTTTTTAATCTCTAAGATATCCAAAGTTATTGAAACAAGTTATATTTTATATGTCAGTGGTCCACATTTTGTGTTACCAGGTGAATGTTTTGTATCATACATATTGTGGCTATAATATTGTGGCTTTTTGTCTTTAATTAAGGAAGGTGTAGGAATTTTATGAATTTAAATTTGAATATTCTGAATTTTACATAGAAAGGACCATTAAAAATATTTTTTCCCCATGTCTGTGTTAAAAAATTTTCCCAGGGTTTATGTTTCGAACCAAATATCCAAAAGTATTACTTTTCTTCAACAATAAATTAAAACTTTTGAGAGTGAGGTGCTAAATCCACAATTAGAACTCCCATTACCTTAAAACTATACAGAATATTTACTGTGAAACCTCTGGTATAGTATGCTCTTTTATTTACACTAAATACAGACAAGAATGGCTGTTACTGCTTAAAATATTTGTTAGATATGGGACTGTGCTCTTCATGATTATGATACTTATTCCACTTTATATTAAAATAACTGACTTTGTGATAAGTTTTTATAAGTATATTTCAACCTTATAAAGATTAATACTAACAATGCAATGATATGTTTCTGTAATCTGTACCAATGACCTATTGCCCTTTGTTTCCAGTCAGTTTTTGGGCTATTCTGAATTATATAATTGTGATCGAGTTGGAGGTTTCCATGCTTGCTGTGTTTCTTTTTAGTACTTGGTATTTTTGTTTTAAATATCACACTATTTAAGTTTTCAGTGAGAGTTTTGAGTTAATATATCTTTGTAGAATAAACTACTGACAGCTATTTTAAAATTTTACACAAGTTATGTTTTCTGGAAAATAATGAAGCCCATCAGAAATTATTCATATTTTAGCTTTATTATAAAAATACATCATATAAGTTTGACTTATTTTTTTCTGCTATAATTTTGATATTAAATATAGTACTACATAGTTGTTAGTCTGTTGGTGAACATGTAATACTGTTGACTTGCGTCTTTTGCTGTACAATAGGAGTGAAAGTGTTTTGAGTAACAGAATTACTTCTCATGTTAGAATTTATTTTAAACTTTAATGTTTTTTGTTTTTGTTTTGAAGATTTAACTGGTGGCTACCAGCTCTACCTTTCTCACTTCTTATTTTTGTCTACGATGAAGTCAGGCGATATATACTGCGTCGCAATCCAGGAGGGTGGATAGAAAGAGAAACTTATTACTGAAGTTTCATTTTTATATTTGTGATGACATTTAAAAGTGTGTTCCAGTTTATCTGTTTGCTGTGCAGAGTTTCTGTATTATAGATATAGTCCTGATATGAATCCATTCTGCTATTTTGTCTTTAACATTCAGCTCTGTTTATGTTGTCAATTGTTCACTCTTTTACTAACCAAGATAGTCAAGAAGTTGACAGAATTATATTTCATTTATGTACCATCCATAAAATTGCTTATCTGCAACCAATGTCCCAATAATCCAGAGAAATTTATTTGACTTCCCCACCCCCCACATAAAGGATTTTTGATAGTGCATTTCTTTGTAGATAGTACTTTATGTGTGGGTTTTAAAGAATATATTGTCATGTAGGAAACTAATTTGTGACTTCTCTGTATTTTATAGGTTTAGATACTCTAAATTATCAAACCAAGATTGAAATACATCCTTTTTCATTGTTAACCATTTTTAGATCCAGTATTTTTTTTAACAAAATTCGTTCAGTGTGTCAGGGTCACAGTTTCAGGTATTTTTACTAGTTTAATGTAGTCAGCCTTTTTCACATTCCATCTAGAAGTATTATCTTTTTAATATTTGGTTATTTGTAAAGTGGCAAGTGTAACTACGTAATAAATTATTAAACAGTTGTAGGCCAATACATGGGCTTGAATCTCCATGAAACTTAGTATTACATATACATTTCACAAATAGTTACTTGGTAAATGAGAACCAGGTTATTTGTGGGCATGCTGTAGTAATGTTAATGTGAACTGGCTTGAGAAAGGGAACAATAATGATTTGTAGGCATACTCTATTAAATGTTAACATGAAGTCAGTTAGGAAAGAGGGGAACAGGGTGACTTGCAGGCATACTGTAATAATATTAATGCTCAACTTTGGATTATTGTACAAAGAGCTACTTTCTGAAAAGTGGGAAATTACTTAACCCTGGCTTTTACATAGTTTCTCAGAATTGGGAGATTTATTTACATTAAAACTTAAAGTAAATAAACACTTACTTTTTAAGCACTTATCAGAACTTAATATCATTTATTTTTCTACATTTGTTAGTGTTGAAGAAAATTTTGAATCTTACCAAAATAAGTGACTGCTTTTACATTAATAAATATTAGTTTTGGTAATATTTTGAATAATTTTTGTTTAATTGTCATGGCAATATCATGAGTAATGGCTAGACTGTAGATAATTACTGCATTGGTCAAGTTTACCTCTTATTCTGTCTTTTTAATAATCAACTGAACTTATACCAAGTTGTTCTACTTAAATTTATTAAGGAATATCTGTAAGAGTCACAACACAATGAGATCCAGTACCAACAAAATAATGAGAACAGTTTTAAGACATTAAAGTTTGTCTCAGAAATCATTGATATGTTTGGAAAAATGCTTGTAGTTTTTAAAAGTTAATAAAATTATTTGAATCCAGCATTGTTCATTGTATATTATAACTACAGGCCCGGCATGGCCAGGTGGTTAGGGCGCTCATCTCGCAATGTGTGGGTCGCGGGTTCGATTACCTGTCCTACCAAACATGCTTGCTCTTTCAGCCATGTGGACGTTATAATGTGACTGTCAATCCCACTATTCATTGGTAAAAGAGTAGCCCAAGAGTTGGCGGTGGGTGGTGATGACTAGCTGCCTTCCCTCTAGTCTTACACTGCTAAATTAGGGACGGCTAGCGCAGATAGCCCTCGTGTAGCTTTGCGCGAAATTCAAAACAAACAAACAAACCTTTTAAATAGAGAGGTTTGGTTTTTCAAAATTGTACGATTGTGCAAGGTCTAACAAGATATTTTTTATTATTGTTGAACTATTAAATTTGACCACAACAAATACCATTTCAAGTTTTATAATAAAATTTGTGAATAAATAAATGGCGTTTCTGTGGGCTCAAAATTCTATCGAGCTAGTTGTTATATTTCACCTCTCTTCAGTCTATACAATAATACTACAGGCATTGTCCGAAACGTAGTATCAACAAAAGTATATATAAAAAATATATAACTGTAATTAACATCTTGTCTTCGGTGGTTTAACCTACTCCTTGTTTTCTTTTCAACAACCATCACACGCAATTACATACAAATTGTTTTTCTAACTGGAATAATTCAGCGCCTTCTATCGCACTACGATCGATTTACGAGGTAAACGGGGCAGTTGGAGATAGGCGACATATAATGACTGAATTATTCGAAAAAATTGGGGGTCTTGGCAGGAATTCCGTTACAGGGTCTTCAAATGGAAGACAACCAGGGATGCTCAGGAATTTTTTGTTTCTCTTCATCTCGCTAATGGAGGGTAACTTTTGGCCAAAAGGGCGGAAAGTGGATGTTTAATTTATATTGGGCATACTTTTATTTCTTTTGACGCGAAGTTTTGGTTTGTTTGATCATTGGGAGCCATCAGAGCTGAAAATCAAAGAAGAAAGCCAACAACGAGGAGAAGGGAGAGAGTGAGAAGCACGTGGTGATGTTTTAAATGTGTTGCTGGGCCTGGAGCTGAAGACTTCCTGTGGGCTTACTCATACTTATTCATAATACAAGTAAATAAAGTGGCCATTCAGGCTTTAGATCTACCAAACTATCATCAGATTAATATTATTTCAGGAAATGGCAATAATTATTAACGGCAAAGTTTGTTTATAGTTAAGCGCAAAGCTACACAATAGGCTCTCTGTGTTCTGCCCACCACGGGTATCGAAACCCGGTTTCTAGCGTTTTAAGTCCGCAGACATATCGTTGTGCCACTGGAGAGATATTAACGACAACTAACCTGATAAATTTTTACAGACGACAAATTATAAATCAATTTCAAGTTTTCATCAGAGTCAGGCACGAATATGGAATTTTTTGAAGAGCAGAGTTCAGCCTGTAAAAGGATCACACTTATCACAACAATGATATATTTGTGATTTTAAAATGTATATTTGTGATTTAATAATCTGAAACAGATGCAAGAGTGTTTCAGAGGAAATTATTTGGTTAGATTAACAGTCAACGTTGAAAATATAGGTTTTCATAATATACTTGTTCTAAATTTCCGCTTATTATCCTACTAAATGCTTTATTTTTTGTGGTTGGTGATTTTTAGGTATAAGATGCTGATAAATCTTCGAAGAGTAATAATTTTTATGTATTAGGGCAATTTGATGTGTGCATAAGGATAATTTCGAAACAGTGTTCATTGGTATTGTTACGTCTCCGTTCGTTAGTTAACTTTCCGTAACTTCGTTCCGACGAAACTTTAGCGACACAAGTCCTTACTTAATAAAACTGGTTTATTC